TCATCATCATCATCATCATCATCATCATCATCTTCATCATGGGTGACATCGTCGTCGTCGTCGTCGTCGTCTTGTTGTTCTTTAAAGAGCTTTAGTGGGATAATCGACATCCGTCTAAATTTTTTTTGAATCTTTCAAAATGCTTACACCGATATGACCACCATCAGATCATCTGACGACGATGATGATCAACAATAATAATAATAATAGCAATAACAATAATAATGCAGTAAACTGTTTGCAACATCAATTCTCATTTTTCTTTGATTCACTGCTTCAGCACCATCACCATCGTCGTCATCGTCATCGTCATCTTCACTGGCATCGGTAACTGCCGCCGTATTTCTTGATCCATCGAAAATTGTTTTTGTTCTAAAAGGAGTAAAAAAGCATTTTCTGTTTCCTTCTCCTCCGACCCCCACCCTAGAAAAAAAAAAAAAAAGAGAAATCAATGAAAAAAAAGAGCGGTTAACAAGAACAGAAAACGGAACAAATGACTGAAAATTGAGGAAGTTTTATATTTTGTTCTGGAAGGAAAACAAAGCTCCACAGATTTTAAAATGAAAATTGAAAGAGTAGCACACGTTTTTTAGTTTTTTTTTTTCTTCTGCTTGTTGCCCAAGAAACTTGTATTGTAAACAGTGGAAAAAGAAGTGCTAAAGATGATAAATGGGTGATGATAAAGTTTTTTCAAAAGGAAAAAGACAAAATCACTTTTGTTGACAGAGGATAACAGATCAACTGTTATACAGCAGTTGTTTTTTTTGTCTTCTTTGGCTACTAGAGTTTAACCTATTTTATTCACTCACTCATTCTTTCGCTTGTTCACTCAATTTGTTCACTACATTTAGACATGTATACTTATTAGTTCACAGCTCTTATTGAACAGTATTCATTTAGGCGTTAAAAAAATAAACTTTTTTTTTTTGCCAAACTTTTATTGCCGATTGTTATTGTTGCTGCAGTTTGCTTAGTGCACTTGTTTCTGTGGCCGACACTTAGCAAAGTGAAAAATTTGCATAATAATTTGTCTAAAGAAGTGAAAACTAAAAAAAAAAGTGTTAAAAAACAGTAATAGGAAATAAAATTAGTGTTGTTTCTTTTCTTTTTTTTTTTTTCAAATTTTGATTTTTATTTTGATACTTGAAAAAAAAAAAAACAGTGAGAAA